ATTGTTAGGGATATTGAGGACGTTTACCAATTAAAATTATATGTAAGCATGAAGAATATTGGTATTCACCCCCTTTGGCTCATCATCTATGTATCCATGAACAATATTAGAATTGGGCAAAAATTGGGAAATTTCGACATAAACGTATACATTTTGGGGAAATATATATTTTTGTAGTAAACTATAGGTAAAAGAGTATTTTCAAAGAAACAAATAAAATAAATTTCAGTTTGTGTCGTTGCCTATCACGTTTCTCACGCACAACTCGATCTTAATGAAATTTATCAGAGTTAATTGAGCCGAAAACTAATCAGAGCATTTTGGGATAGAAGTGGACGTAGATGGAAGAGGCTTAGTATGAAGGAAGAGGGTAAATATGATGGACAAATCTGGGAGGAAGAGGAAGAACAGGGAAATAATAATGTCTCATTTATTAGATTTCTTGCTGGAGAGAAAGAGGGAGATGAAGCTTCTGGGTGCATTCATTCACCGACGTAATTTGATTTGTTTCTCTTACGGAACGCCAAACTATAAAAATCCAAGCCTCCGCCATCTCATTTTTCATCTCCTTCACGACTAGTTCTGTCTTTCTCGGTTTCATAATACAAATCAGTTCATTCACTTCTCCAAATGAAAATGATATTCACGTTTCGCGTATTTTAATGAGAACAGTTTTTTGTAAACTTGCCCAAACTGGGCATCACATAAGAAATTTATTAAAATATTAACACTAGAGAAGATAAGCGCATACCTGCTATATAGCATTGCTTTTTGAACGTAAAACAACTCGTTTATAGTTGAAAACATACTAATATGATGGTGTTTGTAGCGATCAAATTATCAGATATAAATTTGTATGATCGAATAGCACGGAACCAATTAACTGTGTTATTTAAGGTTTTACTGTATTTTCTTACTATATGATAAATTATATAATTCCAAAATTAAATAATATAGATGAAAATCCAATCATTATATCATGGAATCTCCAAATATTTTTTTTTCATTTCCAGTTTAATAATCAAACAACGATCAAAAAAATCGGAAGACCTTAAAGAAGTATTTTTTTGCATTTAAAGACATATCGTTTCTTCATTAAAATAAATATTGTCGGCAAGATAAAAACAGTATTTAATTATTTAGAGTCATTTTTACCTTTACTTATTTTATTATTATTTTTTTAATGTTATTTTTGTACAGCGAAGTAAAATGTAAGAGTATCTCTTATACAAAATATGCTTTAAAATAAATATAATTTAAGTTGAGACTTTAGTAGATAAAGTAACAAAATAGGCTCCATCTACTTCGGTTTTTATTAAGTTAGTGTTTATGTCTTTCTCAAAGAAATATTTTATTACTGCACGATACTCAGTTTCTTTTATACCCTTACATTTTCTTCGTATATTGTATATAAATACAGTATCATTATTTTGTAATAACAAAGTAATATTCTGGGCAGAAATTTTCTTATCTATTACATAATTTGAACAATTAAATAAAAAGATTGAAATACTCGAAAGTTGTAAGTAAATAATGTTAATATACCATATTGTATCCGTTGTGTAAGATAAAGATGATCTATTATAAATAATGATAAATACAGCAATACCTCGCACAGTCCGGTTTTACTATAGTCCCGTTTGAAAATGTCAAAACAAAAAATACTATATTTTTATCCACATTTATGTGAAATAAACTTGCCTAGTCCGGTTTCAATCAGATTACCCGGACTATGCGAATTTATTGCTTTTACAATAATAAAAAAAATCTAAATTATCCATTTATTTATTAGTTTAGTTAGTAGTATTTTCATGATACTTAATGATTGTTTATTATATAATATTAATTATGTAATTTCTTCTTATTAAATTAAAAAACATACAAATTTTCTTAAGAAAAGTTTTCAAATATGTTGAATATCCAACAGATCAGAAAAATGTATTCAATCCTACCAATAAAACAATTTACATAAAATCAGGTATAAAATGACCTCAAACTGTGAATTTCTACGAAAACTAAACAATCAGACACCAGTCTTTTTCAAATTGTATTAAACTTTTAAAAAATATTGTCATTACAACGATTATACAAAATTATTTTAATACTAAGCTAATCAATGCAGAATTTTCATTCATATAATATTTTATTCTAATCTAAAAATGAAGTTCTGCAAGAAATATGTTATGCACTTTTACCACATTTTTACTATCCTAGTTTCGTGCTAAGCTTCTTTTAACGACGTTCGTATACTCGTTTTCAGTGTTTATTGGAAACTAAAAGTGTACGTGTAATGTTCGATCGATATTGACATAAAATACACGTTTGATAAGGATATAATTGAATTCTATTTAAAAACAAGTAAATTTCCATAAGCTTTTCCATAAGAAATTAACTTTTTAAACATGTTTATAATTTGTTAGATAACTAAGTAACATTTGTATGATTTTTTTTGTATATTTTAGTATTAACATTATAACGAATCTTCTTTATAACGAAGACCACAATTTCAAACCCCAATCCTTCCTAAAACCATTGATCCGTGCTTGTACCCTCCATGGTTAGAACGTAAGTAGATAAGGACAATTTGAAAATACTGTCTTAAATTATTATCTAAAGATTCCAAGGGCTATTGAAAATAACATCGAAGAAATAAAGTTTATTTCCAGATAGATAAAAAAAATAAGAGGTTTAAAAAATGTCGAGGAATGATGTTAGACATACAGAAGATGATGGATTTTCAGAGAAAGATTTGGAAAACCTTGTTAGCGACGAAGGCACATAAGATCAAGAAAACAATAAAGAACTTGTCGTGTCCCAGGGATTGAAAATTGGGTCGCTATCGAATATTATTTTCGGTTGTCTTTTGTGAACTCTTAGGGTTTGTAAATAAATTAATCTAATGGGTTTTTACTTGTCATTTATTCTTAATACTCTCTAAAGTGTTTACTTACTATTCTATGTATAAAATTATATATACAATTAGGGGGGTAGTTAGCGTTGGAGAGTAGAGCATGGTTTTGATAAGAAGCATCTTTGTGATATCGCTAATTCTGCATCTTAGTTCCGAGTTGAAAATATGAAGAAACGTTTCAATCGGTTACTGCCCTCGATGGAACTGCTTATTTGGCATCATGGTTCCCAGGTTGAAAATATGAAGGAATGTTCTTATCGGTGATTGCTCTCGATAGAATCTGTTTATGAAGGATTTGTTTCTATATTGTCATTGCCCTCGAAGGATTCTGCTTATAAAGGGTTTGTTTCAATCGGTCATTGTTATCAGTGGTATGCACCCTTGTTGGTTGGACACGACAGAGTTTCTGTCGAAAAAACGTTAATAACCAAAGATTTAAAAAAGTGCTTAATTTGCATTGAATACTTCACTAAAAAAGTGAAAATAATCCCGATTTAGGAAGAAGGAAGTTAAGCGAGCAAAGTTAAATGCAATAATTTTGTATAGGAAATTGTTAAATGAGAGATAAAACAATCAATTATAGACTCATTCTTCTAAATGTGATTTAACTGTTTATATAATAAAAGTTTTCTTTGTTCGAAATAAAGCTTGTCATTATCTTTACGAAGGAACATATTACCATTTTTATCTCTGAAAAGAAAGTTTTGCTTAATTTAAGAAAATAAATATTGTAAATTAACCCTTTCAGACCCGAATTGACAATATTTTTTTATCATAAAATATTGTACCAAGCTTGAGTTGGTTAAAAATAGTAACATGTTTTTTGTAAATTGTAGTGAACATTTATTTTTTTAAAACAATTTTTAATTTTGGTTGGGCAAAAAAAACTTGACATTTTTTGTATTGAATCCGCAAACGCCCTCTACAGTTTTCAAGATTACAACGTTGTTCATGGCCACCTATATGTATTGGCTAATGACCAATATTATCATATCTGATGTTATTCACAGAAACTGTGTATGGTTTTTGTCGTTTATCATCTTCATCTTCATTTTCTTGCTGCTCATCATCTGATTTTTCCTCAATGTCTTCGTCAATTTCATTATTTTCATGTAAATTTTCCTTTTTGTCTTCTACATCTGAATCAGGTAGTGCTGATATAGCAACCTATGCATATCGCAAGTTTATTTTCTTTAAAGTTCTTTAAAACTTACTTTAAATTTCCATAAATTGGGTATGCCATCAAACTAGGCAAAACACCCAGTGTTGGAAATTGCGTACACATTTCAAAAAGCTATGAAGATGGTTGTTTGAGTAAAAACTACACATAACTTTCGTATAGTAAATTCATAAACCTTATACTTTACATTTCAGACAAAATAATGTCAAAATTATTCTTTGTATAGAAAATATTTATATTATATATATGAGGATATTATTTGACACCTTGCAAAGCACAATAATAATCATCACTCAGATAGTGTATCATTCAAATATGGTAAAGTTAATAACGAAATATCTTTGCAATATCGAGTCTACATCTAGTGTTTTAAGTTGAAAATCGGTATTCAGTTATAAAATAGTACACTTTACAAATTACGGTAGCAAATGCCGGCAGCATGTCCAAAAGTGTTATAGGTGAATTATTAATTATTATAAAAAATCTTCTCTCAAATTGTAGGTAATAAGTCATTAAAGTATTCATTTAAATACATATTTTTATCGATTGAAGAAAGGTATAACGTTCTATACGAAGTGTTCTAAACAGTTCAACTTTGCAAAGTTTTGCATGAAACAATGAACTGTTCCTCACAATATAAAACTCGGTGCGTCGCATGAATTTTAATTAAAATAACTTAATTAATGTACGACGAGTAGAAAATGCTTGGATGATTTTGATGGCTTCGTAAAATGAGCAAAGCATAATTATTAATGTGTTTGTTAATTTTGAAACTAGGTGATAAGTAAATTTAAAAATTTGTGATTGTGGAATGAAATGGAAATAAAATGTAAAGGATATGAATCATTTTATACATGCGCAACGGTTGGTGTGAGATTAGTTATCACTTCCTATTTCGTACATAAAAATATAGGCGTGTCATCGGTTTGTTAGAGTTGATTTCGTTGCGATCATGGAGAAGTTGAAAATACGAAAACAAATCGAGAGTTTATCCTCGGAGCAGTTGGCCCAAGAACTAATCAACGTAAGATCTTGTTCTTGCATATCACAAAGCTGTTATAAACTTGCATTATTTACTATTTTAGAATGGATACGCATTTTCGTACCAAGCCATCATCGATAAGGATATCACGGGTAAAAAAATGCTGGTGAGTAGATGAAATAGAATTTTTAATTGAAGACTTAAAATAATTATTCTCTTCAGAATATGACGGAAATGGAGAAAAACGAGCTGAGTTTCGTTATGTCCAGAATTCAGTTGCAGCAGTTCTGGTCATACGTTATGTCAGTAAAAAACGACCCAACTCAAATGGTACTAAGGAGTAATAATTCATCATCGATTCAAAAGCCTGTACCTCCGCAACCGAAATTCGCGAAACCTCCAATAACTACTGGAGGAAGATTTGTGTTTCCACCGAAACCCATTGATAGTTTTCCGCAAAAACCAAATATCTCGACACCGAAACCTCCTCAACAAATCTTGCCTCCGAAGCCAAATATTGTACGAACGCCTGATGTCAATACTACACCGGAAAGTGAACCATTTGCAACGTCGAACGTTTATCCGTTCGGACTTAGGCAAGTCCAGAAACCAGCGGCGGATATTGCGAAACCTTCGATAGTGCGTAAAACCAGCGAGAAATTTGAGACATCAAGCAAATACCCGTTCAAGTTTAGAGGTGCCGAAGAACAAATTGCTAACAAAGAAAAGGAACAGATGTCGGCTAACGAGCCGGTAGATCCATTTGCTACATCCAGTGTTTACCCGTTCAAGAACAGGGCCAAAATTGTGAATCAAAAGCCACCGTCACCGGTAGTGGAGCCTCAAAGAAACGACCAAGATAAATTTGCTGCTTCAAACAAATATCCATTCGGGCGAACTGCTTTTGAAAATTCTGAGATGGAGTATCCTCAGCAGACAGTTTCAGATGGTGCGGCAACTTCGGATGCATATCCATTCAAGAACCGATTGCCGCCTAAACCGGATCTGCCGAAACCTCCGGAAATGAACGTCTTTAAGAAGAAGCCTTTGCCGGTTATCCCGGCGGAAAAACCGAAGGATATCGCACCGCCTACATCTAACAATTATTCCTATAAACAAACGCCTATAATAAAAGTAAATGATCCGAACCCTATCGGATTGGGTAAACCGAAAATTGAGCCACCTGAACCATCGAACAACAATTTCTTAGCGAAACGCGATCTTATTTCAAATATTTTCGCAGGGAATCGTCCCATGTCGCAACCCAAACCTGAACCAGAACCAGAACACGAACAGGAGGATCCGATCTACGGAAATGTGGAACGCGAGGAATATTATCTTTCGGCTGATGATTCATTTGCATCCGATGAATCGTTTGAACCCGATGGTGATGAGCCAGAGTATGGTAATAACGTTTACAGGAATGTGTCTGCGCCTGTTTCTCCACATGAGCCTCTACCTATGCCTAAACCAATGCCTTCGGAAGATAAATTGCCGCTTCCACCGAACTTTCTGGTGCCTCCAAGGTATAACGACAACGAAAATAACCAACTGACGGAGGATCAAGTTTACCAACCTGTTATATCGGTTGACGTTGATCAGGATATACAGAATCTTCTGCATCCTCCACTTCCTAGGCGACCTCGCGTCACAATACTCAACTTGTCTAGGCAAGTTGGAAACGATCGTCTGGTCAGATCCGAGCAAGGTAATTTCCTCTTCAGGACCAGCAACACGCACTACTGCGTCCTGATGATAAAAACGAATTCCGGACACATCGCAAATATTCCGATAGTTAAGCGTGATAATCGTATCCATCTGGATGCTACCAATATGGATGCAACCAAATACTTTGACAACCTGACAGATATGGCCGATTATTACAAAATGCAGGACACCAAAATGGGAAATACCACAATACGATTTAGAAATATGTTGACGTAAATTATTAAGCTAACAAGAAGACAGTAGTATATATATAAAATTCCTACTTTAAATTGAACAAATAATAGTAAAGATCTAAATTTATTAGCCCAAAAATTTAAAAAATAAATCCATATGATTATTATAATTGCAAAAGAACAGTAAATTAAAAGGGACAATAATAATACAATAAAAAGATACTTCTTCTTATGTCAACGAAAAATAGAATAATTTTTAAGCCAATTTTATAAAATATTTTGAATAAATGTAGATTAATTTACGAAATAAAATAAATCTAATAAACTAACAAACTTTATTAACCAAAGAACCCAAACACATCCGTATTCAGATATTATTTTTATTAATTAGTATTGGAAATATTAATCTATAGAAAATATTAATAAATTATCGTTTCAGATATAAATTAAATTCAATTATTGTTTATTCTTGAATCCATGAGTGGACACAATAATTAATTGCAAATAAATAAACAAATCATAGGAAAACAATATTATCAGATTGCAAATAGAATATAATTTACAATTAATACAAATTGAATAGTAAATTTACGTATAGTGATACATTGGTTAACCTTACTTCAGGTAACGAAGCATATGTATAATGAAAAACACAATAGTACGAAAAAATTGATAGTTCTTGGAAGAAGTTACTAAGAAATATTTGGCAAATTCATCAAAGAATTAATTAATTAATTAGGAAAAAAGTTATCCAGATGGCTCAATTAATAGGTCGATGAAGAGAATGTCAGAAATTTATTGAATGCAAGGTGATGGTAAAACCTTACCGAAGATTAAGAAAAAAACTGGTTAGCAAAGAACTAATTGTTATGAGACAGGCAACTCTATATACATAGTAAATATAACTTCTTTAATGTATACAATACACTATAGACAACTGTAAAGTATTTATTACTTCCATTAAATGGTATAATTCATGTTTGTTAATCGTTATCAGGTAAAAAAAATAGATTTATCTAAGATGATTAAATATTTGTGTATCAACTGGAGGTGCAGTTTTGGAATGTAGTTATACTTGTTTGCATTAAATTTTGGATAAACATGGAAGATAAGAACAAAGAAATGAAAATAATCGAGTGGTTGACGTGCGAACAGATTGCGGAAATCCTTGCCGATGTAAGAATATGTACCAATATGTACATATGTATCCAAAAGTAGATTTATTTTAAATTGTTATTAATTTTTAGCAATGCCCTAGTGATTTGATTATCGATAACGATATTACAGGAGCAAAATTAATGGTAAGTAATCTACATGTTTCAGTTTATCAGAATTCTTAACGAATTTAAATTTAGAGTATGACTTGGCTAGAGAAAGAGGCCTTGCATTCATCAAACAGGATTCATTTGACACATTTCTGGATATTTGTGCAGAGCGTGCAAAGCGATCCGACGGAGTTCTACTATAAATTGAATGACTTCCAACATATCAAGAACGAGGTCATGCACAAAGAATCGGAATTTTCGAAGAAAATTGCAGATGAGGTATCAAGAAATATACAATTAAGTTGTGATAATTTTGATAAGACTGGGGCACAGATTGAATGGAAAGATGCTACTGATGATGATGATGAATCTGGTTGTGATCAACAAGTTGAAAATACAATCGAAGAAAATGTGATTTCAGTTTGCTTAGATGTATCGCAAACTGAGAGCCAACAATTTGAGCCAGTATTGCGTATGTCAATTGACAAGTACGTAAATGTATTGAAGGTATCCAGGGACGAAGGTGAAAATATCTTGAAGCGATGCGAACCTGGAAGCTTTATCTTCAGGGAAAGTAATAGCTTCCACTGCGTCCTCATGGTAAAAATGGATAAGAACAAGGTTGTCCACATACCGCTGGTGAAGGAAGATGATGGCATACGTTTATTTACCATGAAGTACAAGAAAATCTATTTTGATAATTTATATGATCTGATGATGCACTATCAAATGCGACACGTACAAATTAAAGGCGAAACAGTGCGCTTTGATAAATTAGTAAATAATATATTGTAAATAGATTTAATTAAGAAAAATTGTAATTCATCAATAGTTCTTGATCATTAATTTCAAAGGAAACCGCAAAACTCATCCGCAACTTTACTGATACAAAAGTTCAACTTCCCACATCTTTTGCTGGTGGACAAACATAGTTCTCATTATCACTTCTTACATCGGATAACTTATACGCATAAATTTCCCCACAGATTTCCTCATCTTCCACAAACTAATCATTGGTGATTTCCATTTTCATAGTTACTAGACGACTAAAAAATATTGCATAAAAATTCAAAACTAACGCAGTATAATAAAAATTCAAGCAAAAAGGTAATTATACGTAGCATATAAGTAGTTAAGTGTTAAGAAAATCAATATTGCTTTCATCAATTGTTATATGGATGACCAATATATACAAAATTACAAAAACACATCTTCCTCTTCTACTCTTGACTCTTCTTTCATCCTTACGAGCTGACATCGTATTTCCTTACTATTCCTTCATCCATCTCTCGTGTAACTTTCTTCATAAGATCTTCGGTAACATCTCTATCTATTCATTATAATACGTCGGGGTGATGATCTTGCACTAATAGTAGTAACAAAAAAATCTTCTACTTTCGGCTGGGCTGGTCCTTAAAGGTTCTGGGCACCACTTCCTTCTGTTGTGAGAAAGAATTCCTTACTTTTAGCTTTCCTTGGAGCTCCACGTTTCTTCTGCTTTCCACAGAGCACCACGTTTGTCCTGTTTTCCTCATCTCTTTCGGAGCCCACAACATTTATTCACGGTTCTATCTCGAGTCACTGCGATCTCGGAGACTAAATTATATGGAGGAGCATAATAGTTACTAATTTTACAACGTTACATTATCTGCAAGTTGCACTCCATACACCAAGATTAACGGAGAACTTCTTCACGGAAATATGACTGTCCCAGCGACAAATACCTTGGACGTCGGTAACACCACGAGAAGGTTGTTATGTATTGTATTGTATACATTGATTAATTTTAAAATGATAAATATTCACAATGTTAGATTGATCGATTTTAGAAACAATTATAAAAGATAATAGCGATGTGATAATTTTATCACACCAAAGTTCGAAAAGGTTTCTTTAATTTTAAAGCAAAAATACATGGATGATTTTGAAAGCTTTGAAGTTACAACAAAAAAAATCTAGGTAATAATAGTAGGTAATAAATAAAATAAAAAAAATGTGATTGTGGAGAGAAATGGAAATGAATTATAAAGGATATGAATCATTTTATGCATGCGCAACAGTAGATATTTGGTTAGTTATTATTAATTCTTCATTCGTATATTAAATATAGGCGTGATTTGTTTGTTTTTCTTTCGCTGCGATCATGGAAAAGTTAAACAGACGAAACCAAATCGAGAGTTTATCCTCGGAGCAGTTGGCACAAGAGCTAATCAAAGTAAGATCTTGCTCTTGCAAATAACAAAGATGTTATAAGCAATATTTACAATTGTAGAATGGTTACGCATTTTCGTATCAAGCTGTTATCGACAATAATATCACGGGTAAAAAACTGCTGGTGAGTAGATGAAATCACTTTTTTAGTTAAAATTAAAGCAATAATTTTAGAATATGACTTGGTCAGAGAAAGAAAATTTGCATTCAACGATGAGCATGATTCAGTTGACGAAGTTTTGGCTATTTGTGATAAGCATCCAAAACAATCCGACGAACTTCCATAAATTGAATAATTTACAGCAAATCAACAATGAGGTCATACAAAAAGTAACAGAATTTCCAAAGAAAATATCTGATGTAGATTTGATCCGTCCACGAATTGCGGATTTAAATGTACTGGTGGTGTCCAGGGACGAAGGTGAAAATCTCTTAAAGCGGTACGAACCTGGAAGCTTTTTCTTTAGAAAAAGTACTAAGTTTCATTGCGTGGTCATGGTAAAAATAGATGAGAAAAAGATTGCCCACATACCGGTGTTGAAAGATGACGTTGGCATACGTTTATTTGTGTTCAACGGGTCTGCATATTTTGATAATTTAAATGATATGATAATGTACTACCAAATGCGTCACATGGTTATTAAAGGTGAAACAGTACGGTTAAAACATTTTCTCAAAAAGTTATAGCAATCATGTAAATATATTAATTATTAAAATGTTTAATTAAATTGTCCGTGATTATTAGGTTAAACTCATTTTGCTCCTAATTCAATTTTACACGTCCCGCGAATACATTACGTATTTGTTGTAAATACGGTGCTTGTAGATGATAGAATCAGTAGATCGGGACTTTCTTTCGCGGGTTTTACAAATAACTTTTTTCCAACTTGATTTTAGTTCAAAAAGGAAAAAAATAATGTAATCACTTCTTAATATATAATTTATATTTTTACATTTGTTTTATTTAATGTAAATATTTGTTATGTTTGTAATAAAATCATTAGCAACAGAATAAATATGTTCATTTTATTTACATACAAATTTGTTGTTTTCGTATGAAATGCTCATGTAACAGTATGAAATTTATTTAAGTTCAGTCACATTTTCTGTTGTAATCTGTTAAATTTGATAGTTTTTACAGTAGCAATTCCTTAAACTATTGACAGTGTGTAGCAGCCTCACATTAATTTAAGTTTGACTATATTTTTGTAATCTATTATATTTAATTATTTTTGTGGAAACTCAGAATATACTTTTTAAATTTCATTTCAGGAGAAATGTGTTAATTATGAATATTTGTTTAATATCAAACCTGTTAGAAAGCTATGAAAAGCTAGAATAATTTCTTCCAATATAATGGACTCAATGATCTAATATATTACATAATATATTATTGTTAAGATCACATGATTTTCATTTCTACTTAAATACATTGAAAATTATAAGACATTTCATGGAATTCACATATTGCTAAAAATAATTATAGTACATTCTCTAAGTTTTCTTAAATAACTGTTAGTTATTAAGTTATGTGTTATTTCAAACCAAATTTACGAATCATCAAGAAGAATATATTTCTAATATTATCTTTGTGGAGTCATTTCTCAATTAATGTTACCTTTTATAAAGAAGTTTTAGAGAATTTTTAGCCCTATTTAGTAGAAAAACTCCATATTGAGGCAAAATACCACCAAAATTTGTACAATAAAATGAAACTTTATTTCTAATTTATTGGTTGTTAAATTAGAAATAAAGTTATCAAGATGGATCATTCAATATGTTTCGAAAATATCGATGTTAGAAATTTATTGAAAATGCAGATTTAACCTTGTTAAGAACGAAGACAAATAAATTGAAGATGAAATTAAAGAAATTTCTGCCTAAGATTTACAAAGTTGATTAAATTACATTGAAAACATATTATTTTTTTTAGTGAAAATTATCTTGTTAAAGAAGTATTATAATTTGGTTAAAAGATCTATGTTAAATGCAATTATTTTGTATATAAAGAAAAGCATTCTATTTTATTAATGAGCAAACGTATTCCATATTACAAAGTATTGCATAACAAAGTAAATTCGTATAACACAGTTATTTAACGAAAAACAAGATACTTTCATCTAAAGAAGTATTATACAATTGATTACTACAGTTAAGCAAATTTCGATTATATTTGATTGGATGATCGATATATTTTGTCAATAATATAGAAACATATTTGTTTACTTTCATTGCTGATTGCCACTTGTGAGATAAACATTTCAAGAAATTTTGGAATATGTAATATTTTGGACGGTATTGATTTAAATCAAAATTGCAAAAAAATAATTATCTGATAAGCGAACAAAAATCAAAGCGTAATGATTTATAAGATAATATTTGATGATATTAACGTAATCGTCTCGTTGAGTTGTAGTATGAACAATGTGCTTATCGGAGAAACGCCGAAAAATCGAGAGTTTATCCGCTCAGGATTTGGCCGATGAACTTGTCAACGTAAGTCTCGAGAAACATTACAAAATTAATGTACAAATTTTATATAATTTTATTTCTTTTAGAATGGATACAGTTATAGTTATGAAGCTGTTATCGAGAAGAATATTAATGGAAAACATTTGTTGGTAAGGAAAACATAAAAAAAGTCTATTTGAACATAACTGATTATTTGTAGGAGATGAGTTCGTCCTCTAAAATTGAATTAAGGCATTTCATGTCTTCAATGGATTTGCAAAAGTTTTGGTCGTTCGTATTGAGAGTCCAATGCAATCCTCAAAATTTCAAATTTGATGTGAAGAAAGTTGATGCGTTGCAAAAAGTAGAGCAAATACCAGTTAGACAATTGAGGTTGTTGTTTGAAAACTCAGACCAAAATTTACCTGTTAATGAGAAATCAAGCAAAGTGCTCATGGAAGATAAAATAGATATGAAACGTAGAAACTACAATATTTCAAGTTATGCTTCTAAGCAAAAATCAAATTCTGCTATTGTGAGTAGTTCAAATGTGAAACAATTAAAGACTGTGACAACAATACCGATTCTAAATATAAGTAGTTTAGATGGAGTTGCACGATTGGAGGGCACAAGAATTGGGGATTTTCTTATACGAATAAACAATACACATAACTTTGATCTGATGGTGAAAGTAGATATTGATGAGGTGTTGAATGTACCTTTGAGAATAAAAAACGGTTGTGCTCGTATCCATACTATGCATACTAAAAAGTCGAGACAGTTTCGAAACTTGTCTGAGCTAATCAGCTTTTATAAAGAAAATAATTTGGAATTGTTTGCAGTGCACGGAAATCTAACACTTAACAAAATGTTGACTTAACTATTTGAGTAATTACTGCTTCGCATAGTCTGTTTGAAACCGTACTAATCGAGTATATTAAAACCTCATCCGTTCAAAAAGAGACTTGATTGTAGAGAAAAAACAATCACATAGGTTTTACTATATCTTGTTTTCATATATAATAGTTTATGTTATATAATATTTTATAGAATTATAAAAAAAAATGTAAATTTGTTAATTTAAATTGCGTAATATGATAAACAATGAAAAAAATGTATATAAATGGTAGTAAACCATAATACAATAAACTTTGTATTGTGAAATTTATTTTTTAAAGTGTAATTTAAATATTAAGTTATTTTACTTTTTACATAATTAATAATATAAAAAAATGCATTAGTAATTAAATTATTAAAAAAAAATAAAACAAAAAATGTTCATCACAGATGGACAGTGAAATGAATGAGGTTGAACGTATGGTCCTTCAGCCAAGTCGATGACTGTGTTAAGGATAGCAGCAGATTCACAGTGAAAGGAAATAGTGGACTCATAGAGCATCAATATACTACTGAAGTTAAATTACAAGACGACAGCCAACCTACAAATTTAAAAATCATCATAATGGTAACTATTCACCGGGAAAGATTACCTACCTAATATCAACATTGACTAAATTTAAGATCGAATTTAGTCAATGTTCACATTGATGAACAGATTGTGAATAAAATTACACGACATAAAAAAATATCCTAATTGAAAAATGAAACAACTTATTTAAATATAGTTATATTAAAGTAAGTACAAGTAATTTTACATTCTGCATTCGGTATGCTAAATTCATTTCATAAAATTATGTTATATAACATTATTTTCAAACATCTATTTTATGCAAATATCGATCGAATATGCACACTCGCACACATTTAGTAAACGTTTCCAATGAACTCTGAAAGAAGTTTATTTATAGATTCTCCAGGAAAAATACGTATTTTCAGAATATAATAGTAAATTGGTGAATAATTATCAAGGCTTTTCTTAATAAAAATTACTATTTTCTTTACTTTCTTTAATAAAAATATTATTTGCAAATGAGAAGCAGTTAATGAAATAAATGGTTAATACGCTTAGGAATAATCATTTAAAAATGTTATTGTAAAATTTGTATGCTTCTTTTTTTGTAATAAATATTGTTTAAAATACGCCTAATAATTATGTACCAAACCAATACATAAGACTGAATCAAACGGGTGAAGAAGGAGCATAATGATACTGTTAATTAGTTGGTGCTTATGAGGGATATCATTTGATCATCATAAAGTGACAGTTGGTACGTATACAATTGGTACAACTGTTAGACACTTATGTCAAATGTCATTTATTATTGCTTATCATTAATTGACAACTAGTACATGATAGCTAATACTAGATTTCTGATAGTAGAGGCAATTTTGGTCGATCAAATAATTATTTTATTTTTTACATAGGTAGATATATAAACATAGTATGTATTTAACACATTTCTCCCCACTTAGAATAGATCGTTGACAAGTCTATCGCGACAATTTTTAATATAAAAAGTAGATCTTCTGTATTCAATAGTTGGCCACCTCTACTATAAGGGATGTCCTATGATTATTGTTGAGTGACAGGTTGTAGCCTGTACCTATTGGACAACTCATAGACACTTATTTTATTTGTTAATTGTTGTCGCTGGTGATACAAAAAGCTTAATTGTTTATAGGCTAGTGTATATATATGTTCAGTGATTATCCTAGAGTGATAGATTCTGCTTCTTATACACTTCACTTAGCCTCGACAGCCACTATTCGACAGTGAATATTGGTACTCCAGATACACTTATGTCATTTGTCTTTTATTATCGCTGGTGTAATTCTTATGCAGGAAGAGGAGCTTAATTATAGCAGTAAATTTGTTTAGTTCGATTTCGATTGGATTCTGAGTGGTGGGTGGTGTGTGTGCATGTGTGTTGCACGCTAACGATGCGTGGGGTGAAAATCAATGAGTTGATAATGGGTCGGATGAGTTTGGGGCAGCGTTAAGAGGGGCGGCTTGATGTTCGATCCTCTGGTCCTCATCCGAACCTCCAGAAATACGTGCGACATATTTAGAATGCTGAGCACAAATGGGCTTTGTGGGGCACTTGTTGAACCCCGTCGACCTGTTGCTCAGCAGAACATAGTCCTACCGACAATCACCACATAACCACCCTCTTCATACCCGACTAGCAGATCCGAAGCAAAATAATCTACGACAATCCAGGAAAAAAAAAACGAAAAGATAAAATTGTGTTCTCGCGGATGCAAGAAACAGTCTATTTCCATCCACACGCCAATTTGAGAGAATATTATTATGCGCGTTCCGTCATTACATCCTTTGAATACTGAGCAAAGGGCCTCCATTATTACCGATAATAATGTTTGAATAGTTTGTTAGTGCATCGCTGATTACATAATAAAGCTGTTGTAAGACGGACGCCTTACACAATTTCCTTATTAAACTTCCAACAATATTAATATCAACAAATAAAACAACAAAATATGT